GTTGGGCGAGTGGCGAATGACTCGGCCTGCCCGCTCCGATGGCCTTTTTCTGTTGCTGGGCTATCCCAGAGACTTTTGTTTTCCATAATGCAGTGGGAAAGCTGAAAAGGCTGAGTGGCCCGAAGCAGTGTGGCCTCCCAGGAAGTCGGTTCCTTGGCTCAGCAGTTCCCAGTGGCGGCTGTCCCTCAGCAGGCTTCCCACCTGTGTGTACCGCCTGCCAGCAGTGGGGTGGGCCACACCTGGATCCTCTGCCTTGAGCTAGCCCCCAGCTAAATATCACTTGCCTTCTAACCCTCGTCGCCTACTTGCTTTCCCTGCATCCCCAGCTTGCTAAAGGCAGAAGCAGAAATGGCTCAAATCCTCTGTGTGATGTGAAGCAGCAAATTCTGTCCTTTTGTGATTAGCGTACACAAGGAGTGGAGCTCCAGCACCTTGCAAATGGTATCACTTGCACGTGAAGTGCTTCTTTCAGGAGCTATCTCCATTTTAACAGCAGTTATCAAGTAACTTCTCAGGAGCGACCAGGTCAAGCTTTGTCTGCAGTCTAAGTGCTGATCGACTGTCGGCCTGCTAGCTCTTGAAACAATCTATTGATACTGCAACTCTGATGTGCGTTAAGGCCTTATTTTTCATTGCTTGTATCCTTCCTGAGTCTGCTGAGTAATCAGAAAATGTGAGGTGCCGTGGGATGGGGCTCTTGAGGGGGGTTTTTGATATTGCTCTGTAGCTGGGACACTAAGCACGGAGGTTGGTTCTCTCTGCACAGCAGTGGGCAATCTTCACATAGTCTGATGTCTGTTACTGCTGTTTCTGAGTGAAGTGTTTTTAAGTGACCTTTGTAATTTTAATGGTGGGCGTGAGATGACTTAAACAATGTCACCCAAACTGATATATACAAGAGAAAGTAAAAACGTTTATGTTTGTAAGAAGGTATTTCTGCCCCCAAATTAATGTTCCCTTGGAATGTAGGAATGGCTGCCCTGAGTCAGACAGGAATTTGTTTCAGCAGCTGTGGAGGTGCCTGATGTTAAAACAGGGACAACATGTGATGATACTACTCTGATATCCTGTCCTAGTTTCTGGCAGTATGGGACTTCCAAGGCCACACATGTTTTTGCTTTTAATTTCATTGCAGATTTTCCATCCTGGAAGCTGTCCTTTAGGTTTTTGTAGAGACAGGGTCTTTGGGGCACCAGCACAAGCTGTGGCAATGAGTTTCACAAGTGACTTTCCATTCTGGGGAAGTAGAGCACTGCAGTTTTTAAACCTTATAATTTTATTGACAGTCCTTATGTATTTTGGGAAACAACGAAGACAACTAGTCATCATCTCGCTGCACAGGTCCTTTAATGAGTTGAAGTCCTAGTCTGTGTAGTTGCTCCTGACATGGAAGCTCTTTCAGATATCTGTCCACCTGGTTTTAAATGAAAATTATTACACAGAAAAGTATGAAAAGCGTGACTGAAAGCATAAGGGAGTAAAAGGATTTAAAAAACCCAAAACATATAAACAATATTGTTTGTGCTTACTATGTATTTAGATAACACTTCAGGAAGAGTGCAATGAAAAAGAACACACAGTGTATGTCTGGAAATCTTTTGAATAGTGATTTCAGTTCAGATGTTAGTTAGAAACGTTCTTGATGTAACCATCTCACAGATTCGTTATGTCATTTCCCTTGGATATTGTGATGCACGTTATCCTTAATGATAGAGTCATTACGTTGAAGGGTCAGTAGTAAGGCATCAAAATCCACTCAATTACACAATTATCTTTTTCTGACTAGAATTTTTGTTTCAAAATCTTTGAAAGAATACCTCTGTGCACCGTAACTGAGGAGGAATTTAAATGCTTCTTATATTTTCTTATGACAAGCAAACCATACCTGGTATCTTTTACTGTGATATCAGTAGTTTGTAGAACAGAGGTGTGCAGGCTGTTGAATGTTATAGTAGTTTCAATTTAAATAGAAGAGAACAAGAAGCCGGCTCTTGTGATGCACTTTATCCTTGTTTCTGTGGGTATTCTCATTGAAAAATACATTTTTGGTACTTGTGTGAATGAAATCACAGTTGAAAGTCGCACAAACAGAAAGCCAAGCAGCTTTGGAGAGGATACATAGCTTAATATTACTCTCCATGCATGCAAGAAGGTAATATGATTACATTTGGAGGAGCAAAATACCTTCCTGATTTCACATAGCATACAAACTAACATTCTTCATCAAAACTGATGTTCTGAGTACTGTAAAATAATTACTTGAAATATTTAGGAAAGCAATGTCCAAATTAATTCCAATTGCTTTCGTGTGCTAGCACTCAAGGTTTGTAGCAGTAGATTAAATTGCCTGCATATGGCTAATTGCCTATAACAGTGTTTGTTATTGTGGTGGCTCTTACACTCTGATGTCTGTTTTTGCAAATGTGAAGGTGTACATGTAACTTTACGTGAGGGAGGAAACCTCTCCTGGACTGGACAGAATTACTTCTGTGAGGAAAATTTCTAGTGTAACTAAGTGTTTGCAGGATCACAGTATGTAGAAAATAACTCTGGAAATCTGTTATAAAAGCAGTGGAACCACAAAAGCCTGTTCCTGTTGGCAAGAAGTGTTAACTTCTAGCTCTCACGTGACTTGGATTAAACAACATATCAATTCATTAGGAGGGGCTGGACTGAAATGGAGGCTGGGTGTTAGTTTTTGTTGGCGGAAGTTTAGGTAGGGGTTGTGTTTTATTTGAGGTTGTTGTGGGCTAGCCGCTGATTTTTGTTGGATTCTTGTTCCATGTATCTGTCAGAGGCCCTTTACTGTACAAGATAGGCATGTTTTTGCATGTTTTTCATGTATTTGATTTTAAATATAAATAAATCATATAAATGAAGATGCACTACATGGGCCAGATTTCCTGTTGGGTAAGTTGGCCCACTGAACCACCATAAATCACACTGGCAGAGAATTTGACTTTGCATTCTTAAGATATGTACTCTAATGTCTTTGAGGCCAAAATCAACTTCAGGTATTACCATGAAGAATTATAAAATTAAGTGGAACATAGTGAATACAAAGGCCCCAATTCTGGAAACACAAGAGGTTAGAAAAGCGTGTGTGCTCATGGTTAACATTAAATTTGTTACATATGTGTTTGGAGAGAAGCCATCTATGCCAAAATAGACTCACAACTACCTGCCCATGTACCTGTCACGGTGGAGTGTACAATGGATTACACCCACCTTCAGAGCACAAACTCCTGTGTGTCTACAGAGCCACCAAAAAAAGGGAGCCTGTGGAGCATAGGGAGGCTTTTATGATTTTTTTTTTTTTTTCCCTAAAAGATTGCTGAATTTTGAGTCTTAACTTAGATTTCACAAACTATTCATGTCTTTAGGTCAGTTTGCCTCCTGACTGATTTCAGTCTGAAGTAAAACAAAGCAAAGCATGTTTTTCCTCCCCACAATGAAAGTCAAGTGGAAACAAACGCCTTCGTGGCTTCTTAGGGGAATTAAGTTTCCATGACTTTGCATCAGTCATGGAAACAGAGTAAAAAGAGATGGAGAGACAGTGGTCTTCATCTAAAGCTGAGTGGTTATGTGTCAGTCAGTGTGAAAACCAGCTGAGAACTTTGTCAGGCACAAAACTGGCTCAAATCTTTTCTCCTAGTACCAAAAACTGTGTTTAGGTGGGCTCTTCTCAGTCTTTCCTGTTGGTGCTGCTTCCCCTTCATGATATTTAGATGTTTGCAAATTTATATTGCTTTTAGTAAAGGTTAGCCAAATAAAAATTGTTCTGCAATATACTTCAGTAGTTTATAATAGGTGAACTGTTGGTTGTTCGCCATGTGTGTTGCTTTACCATTAGAAGATACAATTGTATTATAAACTGTTATATTAATGCATCCTTCATTGATGGTGAAGTTTGTATTCCATGGGAACGTCTTCCAAATGAAAGCCCAGTCTATGAGAGTACCAGTAATGCTTTTTAAAAAAAACTCTGGGAAAGGACATTTTAGAGGAAGTCCTCTCCAATAAAGCAGAGACCAAGACATATCAGTGACTTGAGAAATAAAATTATTTTCCGTATTTTCCTGAAGGCTTATATTCAACTGTAAATGCCATCTTCTGTGATCTTTTATTAGGGTTTTGTTATACTTACTATTAAGTTTGTATTTTTAGTCTTAACCTCTGTGAGGTAAAGACAGATATCTATTCTGTGGTCTAGTTGCTTAATGCAACAAGTTGTAGCTGCCTAAATTTCATCTTCGTCACACTGATTCTACCAAACTGCAGTGCAGTACCATGCTATCTACTGAAGGTAACAGAAATTAAAATAAGTATTAACATTAATCTTTGGAAGAGCTAGAAGATGCACATAAACCTCAAAGCTTCTGTTTATCCAAAACAGAAGTTTAGAGTGTATATGTGCAGGCATGGATGCACACATGAGCACAGTTGTGTGTGCATGCATGTAAAAAAATGACTGTAATTCCTGCCGTTTTGTTAATTCTGGAGGAATCTGGTCCATCTGCATTAAAACAAACCATGTTTGGCAGCTAAAAATGAAAATATAAAAAATGAAAAAAATATTTCTAAGCAGGTAGAATTAATTTAAAAAAAGCAACGTCTTTACTAGTGCAGAAGTCTGATTCTGGTTTAGCAGAGGACTTAGTAGTGTTGGCTTGATGGCTGGACTTGATGATCTTACAGGTCTCTTCCAACCTAAAGGATTCTATGATTCTAAGTCCTGAAGCCCTTACTTATAATTGGGATTTCTGCTGATTGTGCAGCACGGTGACCAGAGCTGGACAGGCTGTGGCAAACGACCGGTGCTTTCAGATGAACTCTAAAGGTGTTTGCTGAACTACAGTGGCAGAAGGAACCTCTCCAGGAGCATCAGGCAAATATTTTTCAAACGCACTAGATCTCTTCCTAGTATACTTGTGCAAAAATAACTATATACATTATTAAAATATAATAACGCATATTTCTGTATTTTGTTTTCTCCATAGGTATGGGAAAATTGTATCCACAAAGGCAATTCTTGACAAAAACACAAATCAGTGCAAAGGTATGTGCAAAACATCTGCCCTGTCAGTTCATTGTCTGTGTGAATGATTGACTGGTGGCTTGACTGCCAATGCTCTGGCTCCAACTGTGCCATCGACATAATGTATGATGTATTACAAACGTATTTAATAATGCCAAAGCTTTGAGTTGTGTTTCCAGTAACATTGCTCATTAATTTTTTTCATTAACAAACAAAATGAAAATCACAAATCAGAACAAGTATCAAATTGCTTCAGCAGAAAAGTAAATTACCTTCTAACTACATAGTGCTGTCTGATTTGAATGATATCATCAGTGATGCAAATTGATTTTGTATATAAAAATGAAAAATGTTTGGGAAAAGTTTCCCAAGCAAAACCTCATTTAATTTTTCTATTTTTGTGAAGTCTTGGCCTACACTATTGGAAGAAGAAAATATTCTTTATGACACAAGTAGATCCACAAGTTGCAATACCAAGATATGAAAATGATTCCCTTTCCAATTTTATGTTCTTAATTTTCCAACCAATGCATGAAAACATTTATTTAGTGAATTATAGCATGTTATTTGTAGCTATATGTTATGTGTGGCTGTATTTGCCTAGATAAATGTTGACTAACTTGTCTAGTAGTATCTCAGTATTAGAATTATGCATTTACAGGCATGAAGAGTCATCAAGTCTCTGGGGGAGAAGCTCTGCTTTAAAATGACTATAACTTTACACTAGTGATATACAGAATCCTTTGAAGTAATAAGATCTACTAAAGTGGGTTCTTCTGAATAAGAAGCACATTCTGGACAGCATTTCTACATGAGTTAGTAAAAAGAAAGCCTTGCAGTACAACAGTATTTCATGAGTAGCCACAGATAGTGTGCAAAGAGAAGCAGCGGGGGAAGACATTTGGGGAAATTATGAGGTGGGGCAAAATCCTGCCAGCTGTACCAGTGATGTTCTTGCAGGCTGTTGAAGTGTATGCCTCTACTGTTGCCTGCCACAGCAGCCTTCATTAGCCACTCAAGAGAAAAGCATGCTGGAAGACTCCAGTTGTAGTCTAAGAAAACTCCACCAAGCCGATCGGTCATGGGCCATCTTCAGAAGTGATGCTGCTGGACATGAATTTTCCTTCCTTGGGAGCACTGTTCTGACAGGCTTCTAATTACATCCACTCTTTCTGTATTTCCTTGAATATTACACCAGGAACAAAACCTGGTTGGTTTGGTTTGGGTTTTTCTGTTTTGCTTTGGTTTGATTATAACGTGAAGAAATACCCTTGTGGGAAGACAGGCTGGGCCAAGTGCAGAGAGCCCTGGCAGGGTGGCTGGGAGGGTACAGAGGTGAGTGCTGCAGTTTCAAAGCTGGGAGGAGACTGATGTGTCTGCTGCTGGCTGCTGCGTGGCCAGGAGATTTGAGTTTTGGAGGCAAGTTGCAGTGTGGGGAGCTACAGGGAGAGAGAGACTTGCAGCATGATGGGACTACAAAGGGTCTGAATGAATCAATGGTCTCTGAGGTGGTTTAACAGGAAGGAAGGGTGCTGCAGTGGGATAGGAAGGGCTTTGGGGTAGGACTACTTGCAGATAGCACTCAGGTGGAGGGACCTGAGCTGCTCATGTGAGGGATGAGAAATAGGAAGTATGTGATCAGGTAGGTTGGTGTTACCTCTGGAACACTCTTCACTGTCTGACATGGCAGTTAAGATTTTGCTTTGGGGACAGGGACGTGTAGGTCCATGTCACACAGCCATACAAAACTGAGGTGTTTTCTGTTCTCTCATATGTCAAATCCATCCTTTTTTAATCTTTTTTTTTTTCTGAAATTTACTTGTCTGAAATGGTAACACAAATCAAGCAGATGGAGTTGGACTTTAACTGGGCTGTATATTGAATAATGAAATGAAGTCTGTGGGAGAGAGAAGTGTGTTTGTCTCCATTGATCTTGGTTGTCTGAGACCACTGTGTTGTCAGAGTAGATGCTTCAGCTGAATGCCTAAGGGTTGGTGGGAGGAATCTGGGAGAAGTGTGCTTGATGATTGTTCTTAACTTTTTGCTTTGTTTTTGAGTTGGTAACCACTCCACAAACATGGTACCATATGGTCAGAACTCCCTTCTGTTCCCCTTGCCAGCAGTAAACAAGGAGGGGAGTAGAACTGTTTACAAAACACAAAATGTGAAGTGAAAAGATTGTGAAAAATATGAATGGTAGAATTTTGAGAAAGAAAAACATCTGGGTTTGGTATTCTCTATATTGTAGTTAGCTTTGAGATTATTGTAGTAGAGGCCATATAACAGTGAGCTGGAATTTTGTAAGTTTGCTTTCACACTGTTGTATTACACTGTAGGGCAGAGATATTTATTTGTATTTTCAAAGATGGATCTTTATGACATAAGTGGTACCATTAAAAGATCGTAAACATAATTGGATTTATTAACAGTAAGCATTGTGGCATATTAAGAATAGACAATTTGCTGCTTCAAATGCTGGGTACAATTCCCTTCCTCGTCAGTAAGTGTGGGAGAAAAATAAACAACCAAAAAACAGGCTTCCCAGGAATCAGAAGTGGAAGGGACCTGAGGAGGTCAGGACCTGCCTTGGGGTAGGTTCAGCTCTAACCCAGTGCTGAAGGGTGCTCTGTAACCTTTGCTCAAAGACTTCCAGTGGTGGAGATACCTCAAGCTCCTCAGGCAATCTGTGATTGCACTCCCTCGCCTCACTATAATGAAGCGTTCCTAATGTCTAAACTTGATGCAATTTAAGCCTATTGCTTCTTTTCTTATCCCCAGTAGACATGCAGAACAGTTTATTCCTTTCCTCTTTGCAGCAGACATACGTATTTGAAGACTGCTATGCATCTGCTCTGTCTTTTCCTTAGACTAAACACCTGTCCTTTCACTTTTTCCTTAAAGGCAATTTAAGTTTCTGATTATATTGCACTTCTCTGGATTCTCTCTAATTAGTTCACTTCGTACTTGAAGAGCTTAGAGCCCGACATAGGATATCAGAAGGCCTAAATCTTGCTGTTTTAAATAGTGTGGGGAGGTTATTCATTTGTCTTCCCTGTGATCACATGACTCTCCTTGCTGTGGTTTAACCCCACGCAGCACCGCTCAGCCCCTCCGTCCTCCAGTGGCATGGAGGGGACAATCAGAAGAGTAAAAGGGAAAACTCATGGGTTGATATCAAGACAGTTTAACAGGTAAAGCCAAAGCTGTGCACACACTCAAGGCAAACCAAGGAATCCATTCACCCTTCCCACTGGCAGGCAGGGGTTCAGCCATCTTCAGGGCGGCAGGCTCCCTCATAGTGTAATGGTTACTTGGGAAGACAAACACAGTACCTCTGAATGTCTTCCCCCAGCTATTTATGCTGGTCATGATGTCATATGGACTGAAATGTGCCTTTGGTCAGTTGGGGTCAGCTGTCCAGCTGCATCCCCTCCCAACTTCATGTGCACCCCCAGCCTGCCCACTGGTGGGGTGGGGTGAGACACAGAAAAGGCCTGGACTCTGCAAGCACTGCTGAGCAGTAACGAAAACATCCCTGTATTACCAACTCTGTTTTCAGCACAAATCCAAAACAAAGCCCTGTATCAGCTACTGTGAAGAGAATTAACTCCATCCCAGCCAAAACCAGCACACTCTTCTTTGCTGATATATCCATGTAAATAACTCTGTGTATTTAAGATATAGATACATTTTTGAGGCACAGGGTGTTGCATGAGCACAACAGTGCTGATTTATGCTAAGAGATTCTCTGCAGCCCCTGCTTCTGTTATTCTTTTCTCCAGTGCTGCTGCCAGCCAGACATTCCTTATTGTGTGCTCTGCACTGTTGATTATTCCCTCCTAAGGCTAGTACTTTTCATTTGTCTGTGTTGAACTTTATCCTATTTTTTTCCAAGCTACTCCTTAATTTGCTAAGATTATTCTCAAATCTTAAGTCTCCAGAGTGTTTGCAGCACTTACCTCTGTAGTATCCTCTTCACAGTTAATAAATGGTTTCTTTAATCCACTGGACAAGATAATTTGGAAAAGACTGAATAATAACAGACCTGGGGAACACTTTTAAGGAAACCATCTCACTATACCAGGTAGTGTAACACTGAGCCATTGAGAACTTCTATTTTAAATTGGATCTGCTAATCAGTTTGGCACGTACATCATGGGAGTTCTAGCTAGACTGTATTTCTCCCATCTGCTCCACTTAGGAGAGACAACCAAGGTTTAACAAAAATATACTGTATTTACCTATCCATAAGACCAGTTACCTGCTTCTAGGTGGAAGTATGATGTGGCATTGTTTATTCTTGCTAAGTTCATGCTGAACGATACTGATCACCTGTTACTCTTGAGGGCCTTTAAAGGGATTTATATGACTATTTGCTCTAAGATCTTTCCAGAAGTTGAAAGTCTGTCTAATCCAATACACTGGAACACTGGAGCCTGCATCCATTCCGTATTCTTTATTAAAAAAAAAAAAAAAAAAAGGTATAAGATACCTGGTTAAATGAACACATCATCCTGTGATGTGTATCCAGTGCAGTAGGGTAGATGCTGGTGGAAAGTACATGATGGAAATAGTTATCGTATGACTGGAGATTTCAGAAACTATTCTGGTGTCATTTGTGTGTTGACCAAGGTATAGAGTAGAGCTGAAAGTAGAAAATAGTTAATATAGCAAAGAAATAATTTTGATTAGCCCATGTAACAGCAGATCTGTTACAACACATTACTGCTTAGCAAGAACTGCTAGATTTCCTCTCGGAAAAATGAGAAAAAAACTCTGCAATGGACTTTAAGTCAAGTATTCCTCAGATTTTCAAAAAGACGCCCACTACATTCCTGTCATGCTAAGAAATAGTGTTATCTGAGGATTCTTCCCTAGTATGAATTAAGCAGTTGGGTCTAAAGTAATCATATATGCTGCAAAGAAGTTCACTAGGGAAACCTTTTGACGTAACCTCTCATTTTCAGATTGCTCTTTGTTGGTGGTATAACTGCTAAGTGAGGCAGAGGAGAAGCAACAAT